ATGGAATCTATAAAAATGGTACTGATGGACGTAGTGGCAGGGCAGGAATAAAGACGCAGATGTAGAGAACTGACCTGAGGACACAGCAGGGGAGGGGAAGCTGGGACAAAGTGAGAGAGTAGCACTGACATATATACACTACCAAATGTAAAATAGATAGCTAGTGGGAAGCAGCCGCATAGCACGGGGAGATCAGCTCCATGCTTTGTGACCACCTAGAGGGGTGGGAGGGAAGCTCAAGAGGGTGGGGATATGGGGATATACGTATACATATAGCTGATTCACTTTGTTATAAAGCAGAAACTAACACACCATTGTAAAGCAATTATACCCCAATAAAGATGTTAAAAAAAAACAAAACTATATTGTAAAATTTTTAAGAATGGGGAGAGCATTTAGAGTGGTGGAAAAAAAAGAAACCAGTGGCTCAAAGGAGGGAGGACTAAACAAATTCCAAGAGCACCTGCAGCTTGTTAGGCAATGTGTAGGTGTATTTTACTTTAAATTCATTGATATTAGTTACTTTAAAAAACATTTTTATAGATTTAAAATTTTTTCAAAATTGGTTTATTTTTTCAAGGTGTTTTTCAATCACTGGAATCACATTTGAATGCTAATTTCTGCCTGGCATGGTTGAGAGCTGTTATTTTTCTTTACACTATATCAGTCCAAACATGCCTGATCAAAAGGATCACCTGGGACTGTGTTAAAAGTACAGATTTCCAGGCCTGGACCCCAGAGGTATTATTTCGCTTTTGGGGTCCAGAATTATGTACTTGTTTTCCTTCAAGTTTTTTGTTTTTGTAATAAAAATATTCAAATCTGTCTTCACTTAGCTTCAGCAATTGTTAACATATGCCACTTTTGCACTATGCTGTACCATTTGCCACTCTAGATAGTTGGATGGATATATGGATGAATGGATGAATAGATGGATAGATAGATTGATAATTTGGCCCGTTTTTACTAAGGCACTCAATAATCTGTTCTAATTACTTTCCATCACAGTTATTTGACAGTTTGCAATCCCCAGGCTTGATGTAGAAAGGAACAATAGATGTTTAGTTAGAAAGTTACACTAAACATATAACTGTCAGATGGTTCTTTTTTATTGTGAAACAATGTCATACATATAAATATGCAGATATAAACGTATATGTACTCTTTAAAAACTAGTAACAACCCATCACCCCTGTTTCACCACCCTATTAGAACTAGAACATTAGCAGGAACTTCAAGCCCCTTGGGGGCCAGAGCTAAACAGTTTACCCACATCACTTCTTTTCCACAGGTAACCATTTTCCTAAATTTTGTGTTATTAATTACCTAATTTTATTCTTTAAAGTTTCCCCCATACATGTATCAGAAAAAAAGCGTTTTGTCTCATTTCCTGCTTTTGAACATTCTTAAATGGACTCATATGTGTTCTCCTATGACTGCTTTTTTTTTTGTACAGTGTTGTAATTTCGAGATTCATCTCTGTTGATGGGTATGGCTGTACTTTGTTTTCACTACAGTATACTATTATATCATATAAATATACCAGAATATATTTATCCAGTGTACCACTGATGGGCACTGGAAATGTTTTTAGTTTCTTTTAGTATGAACAGTGTGTCAAGAATATTCTCGTATATAACCTGTGTGTACACATGCAGTCACTTGAGAGTACATTCCTAGGAATGTCCAGAATTTAAGGTTCTAGAAAGGTAGGGGCATTTTCCTAAACACCAGATATTACCATCATTAAAGGAATAGGACCAGTTCCTGAAACTCTTGGTTGGCCTGCAGTTGGGTCCGGATTTGTGATGTGCTCCAGGGAGCTGTTTTTACTTTTAAGACACGTAGGACGTTGTACAACTAACTCCAGCTCCAGAGAGGGAGAGGAAATGGTCCAAGACTGACGCAGGCTTGGCAGGAGGCTAGAATCTACATACTGGCTTATGCCATGGTAACATTTGCTGGGTCAACTCAGTCTGTATTGACTACTCACTCATATAGTGTTCTAATGCTTCTTTGGCATACCTACCCTGTATCGGTGATTTCTACCCTACTGGAGCAACACAAATGACCACATTCTGTACTCTGATAAGCAGGACAACTCATTGGAAAGAACATGGACTGGGAACTTAGAAGTACTTGAGTTTAGCAGCATTGGCCATTTACGTATTAGATGTTTTCATTTGTTTTTTTCACTATTACATTGTTTTGTTTATTTACTTTTTTCCCAGTTTATTTATTTATTTATTTATTTTTGGCTGTGTTGGGTTTTTGTTGCAGTGCACGGGCTTTCTCTAGTTGTAGCGAGTGGGGGCTACTCTTCGTTGCGGTGCATGGGCTTCTCATTGCGGTGGCTTCTCTTGTTGTGGAGCACAGGCTCTAGGCGCACAGGCTCAGCAGTTGTGGCTCGTGGGCTCCAGAGCACAGGCTTAGTAGTTGTGGCACTCATGCCCAGTTGCCCCACGGCATGTGGGATCTTCCCGGACCAGGGCTCGAACCCGTGTCCCCTGCATTGGCAGGTGGATTCTTAAGCACTGCACTACCAGGGAAGTCCTTGTTTTTTTTTTTTTTGGTTTGGTTTTAATTTTTATTTTATATTGGAGTATAGTTGATTAACAATGTTGTGTTAGTTTCAGGTGTACAGCAGAGTGATTCAGTTATACATATACATGTGTCTATTCTTTTTCAAATTCTTTTCTCATTTAGGTTATTACAGAGTATTAAGCAGAGGTCCCTGTGCTATACAGTAGGCCCTTGTTGGTTATCTATTTTAAATATAGCAGTGTGTACATGTCAGTCCCAAACTTGCAATCTATCTCTTCCCCCACCCTTCCCCCGCTGGTAGCCATAAGTTCGTTCTCTATGTCTGTGAGTCTGTTTCTGTTTTGTAAATAAGTTCATTTGTATCATTTTTTTTCAGATTCCACATATAAGCGTTATCATATTTGTCTTTCTCTGTCTGACCTACTTCACTTAGTATGATAATCTCCAGGTCCATCCATGTTGCTGCAAATGACATTATTTCATTTTTTTAATAGTTGAATAATATTCCATTGTATATATGTACCACATCTTCTTTATCCATTCATCTGTCAATGGACATTTAGATTGCTTCCATGTCTTGGCTATTGTAAACAGTGCTGCAGTGAACATTGAGGTGCATGTATCCTTTCGAACCATGTTTTTCTCCAGATATATGCCCAGGAGTGAGATTGCTGGATCATATGGTAGTCATATGGTAGCTCTGTTTTTAGTTTTTTAAGGAACCTCCATTCTGTTCTCCATAGTGGCTACACCAATTTACATTCCCACCAACAGTGTAGGAGGGTTCCCTTTTCTCCACACCCTCTCCAGCATTTGTTGTTTGTAGACATTTTGATGATGGCCATTCTGACTGCTGTGAGGTGATACCTCATTGTTTTGATTTGCATTTCTCTAATAATTAGTGATGTTAAGCATCTTTTCATGTGCCCCTTGGCCATCTGCATGTCTTCTTTGGATAAATGTCTATTTAGATCTTTTGCCCATTTTTTGACTGAATGGTTTGTTTTTTTGATATTGAGCTGCATGAGCTGTTTGTACATTTTGGAGGTTAATCCCTTATTGGTCGTATCATTTGCAAATATTTTCTCCCATTCTGTGGGTCGTCTTTTCATTTTGTTTATGGTTTCTTTGCTGTGCAAATTGGAGATAATATATGAAAAGTGCTCTGCCTTTTCCTGACATTTGATAAGCATTCAGTGTATTATAGCTTTTGCTGATGTTTTCTCCTTGTTATTTGTCATCACCCAGAACTCAGAAACCTGAAATACTGAAATTCCTTTCTGTAATAATCTTTTCCCCTTGATTGAATTAATGAAATCAATGAACTCTCTCCCCAACCTCCACCCCTTGTTTCAAATATCATCCCAACTTCTAGATTACTTCTCTGAGTTATTCTCATAATGTTCACATATACATGTTTTTTATTTAAATGTTTAACATGTCTTCTCTTGGACTCTTCTTTAAACATAACATGTCCCGATTTAAACTTTTGATTCCTGCCCTCCCCAGTCCCAACATTTTCCCACCATCTTCCTCTCTAGTTCAGCTAATGGCATCACCATCAGCTCGGGTACCCTGGCTTAAAAAATGAGACTCATCCTCGACTCCTCTCTTTACTTAGTCCATCAGCAACTCTTGTGGATTCTGCTTCCAAATCTTGTTATGCATCTGACGGCATCTGACCCTCTCTCATGTCACCTCCCCAGTCTAAGCCAGCATCAGCTCCCACCTGGATTACTGCTGCCATCCCTCCCCCACTGCTTCTACTCCTGCCCCTCAAGATAAAGTTTAAATCAGATCTGGTCACTCCACTGATTAAAGTCTTCCAAAGACCCCCAACTGCAATTACAACAGATTCCAAACATTTTGCCATGAGTTTCAGGTATGATCAGACCTCTGTCTCCATCTCTGACCTCGGTTCTCTTCTTTCCCTGTGTTCCAGTCACACCTGACCTCTTTCTCTCCCTTGGTCATTGCCCAAGCTCATTGCCATCTCAAGGCGTTTGCACTTACTTTCTTGTCTTTTGGGAACTCTCTTCCTACATTTTTAGTATAATGCTTTCTGTCATAGTTCAGATAGCTGAAAGCTCACCTCCTGAGAGAGCTTTTCCCTGACCCTCCTCGAGCGCCTCATCCATGTTTTTCTTAATCTTTAACTTTGTTTTCTTCATAACTGTACTATCTAAATTTAATCTTAAGTATCTCTTGATATGTTTCACTCCACTAGCATATAATCTCCAGCAGAGTGTCCATCTGGTTTACTGCTGTATTTTCAACACCTATTATAGTCCCTGGTACATAATAGATGCTCAGGAAATATTTGTTGAATTAATGAAGGAATGAAAGAAAGGTAACTGGGGACTAAAAGAATCACAGAACTTGTTACATGTATCACTAAATAATAATACTAACTATATAAATATATTTTTAAAGGTATAAAATGTGTTTTTTTTCAGGATTAATTAGAATTCTTCAAATGTCAGGTAAGTTTTTGTGAATAAATTTTAATATGCTTTATTTTCAAATGTGAACTGTGTGATTCCTTTCCTTAAAAAATTGGAGTTTATTTCACTTTTAAGTCACTTGTTTAATATTTGAAGAATATATATATATATATATATACATTCATTTGTTCATTTATATATATGAACATTCCTCTTTATCTTTGACAGAAAAGGATTAAAAGGGTTTTATACTGGCATATAGGTACTGCAAAAATCTCTAAAGTATGTGGGGGAAAGTTAGGTAAAGGAAAAATACAGGTAGGAGAGTAAAGCTGCAAAGAGAGGTAATAGTAATAAAAAGCCTGTGATGGCAGCTTGCCCTTACAGAAGAAGACTCAAAAGTAGCGCTGCTTTTTCAAGCAATGTAGGAGATGATACAAGGAGAGAAACACCACATCTGTGGGATTTGTGTTTCTTATGAGATAAAAGTCAACCAGTTAAGAGATTCAGGACTACCTTCTAGAGAGTAATTTCTCTAATTTCAACAAGAGGACAAGACAAGTGACTTCAGTACCTCCCTTGCAGCAATTACAATGATCTAGGTTGCTTTTAGGCGGAATATGGTAAAAATGTGACTCACTGGAGATGAAGACTGAACCACCTCCAGCTGAGTTGTGTGTAGCATTACTGCTATTTAAAGTATTAAGTATTCATTGTGTTATGTTTTAAATTTATTAAGTATTCATCATGTTATATATTAAATTTATTAAGTATTTATTGTGTTGTGCTTTGAATTTATTTAAACACAGCCATTTTCCAAAAAGGATTCGGGACTAAATCAGATGCACTCTATAAATGACTGTACTCTCCCTATTATATAATAGGAGAAAGAAGTTTTGCTACTGTGCAAGGAGTTTATGTAGATAGGAATGAGCATCAGGTCAGCTGAACACTAGCATGAAAGCTTGTTGCTTTGATCCTAACAATATAATTGCTTAGTTTTATTTTTAAGTCCATATTCAGGCTAAAAATTCATCAAATATATTAATAGGTTGATGTCTAATATACATAATGAATTGCTTTTTTATAAAAAATGAGTGTATGTCATGTTGGTTATATTCATTGATGCATACCAAAATTTAAAAAATGAGTATCTTCTGTAATCATATTATCATTCCCATTGTAAATCAGGTCCCCTTTCTCTCCCCCAAAATATAGTCCCCACAGGCCCTGAACAACTTGCAGATGAAATGGAGAATCAAATAAAATCACCTGATCCAAGGCCTGGTGCCCCTCCTGAGTACAATTCCCATTTTGTACCAGGTAGGTTAAATATTCAGAAAGAATCTTGCCCCTCTCCAGAAAACCATGCTCATAGTTAAGATTGCTTTTAAAATTAACTAATTAATTAATGGAATGATTCAGTAAATAAATACTGGATGCCTACAGCGGGCCGAGTCGTTTACTAGATGTTAATTAGAATTATATTCCTGTCTTAGGAAGGAAGTTGTGCAAACATTCATGGCATTCTCTTTGCTTGAATGTGAAGAGAACGTTGTCCCGTGAAGAGCACAGAGGGCAGTAACTGCCTCTACTGGGGATTTGAGGGAAGCACTAACTGAGGAAATCAAGTTTTACTGGCACGTGAGGAATTTATCAATCGAAGGAAAGGGGGAAAGGGCCATACTTGCAGAAAGAACAATATGTCCAAAAGCTCAGGGTCATGAAGGTCTGGTTGGGACAAATGGCAGGAGAAGTGCAGAAAAATGGAAGTGAATGGCTTTGAGTTCTGATTCAGGAGCTTGTAGTTCAGCAAATATTTTTATAAGTCTGAATACACAACTCATACTGTAATCAGGGACTCAGGAAAATAGATACTCCTAAGTATTTGGGCAATATGTAAATTCTTTAAAATTAAAAATACTCTTACTCTTTCACTTGGTCATGGCTAAAAAAACTAAACAAACAGTATTTTTCTCGAATGAACATCCTTATGATAGATTTTCTTTTTTTTCCAGAGAACAGCAAAACATCCACAGCTAAGCCTAGCTGTTGAAACTTAACCTTAATCCTGACTTGAAGTGGAAGCTTTTAAAAAATCTTCTCTTGCTTTTCTACCAAATTCTAGCTACTGTTGTCTTTGCTGCTACTTTTCCTCCCTAGATCTCATATTCAAAGATGCCTATGGGTTTAATTGTATGCAAATTGCACGTCATTATTTTTAGAGACACACAGCATGGAGGGTGGGTGGAGCCCTCTAGGTGCTGAATTTTGATCCTTTGCAAGATGACAGCAGTGGGGTCTTCTGGATTCTGCAGCTGTTAATTCAGGTCACCACCGACCGTGTTGTGATGTTCCAGACTAAAAGGCAAACTGGAGATATTTCTTTATACTGTTATTCTCATAAAGAGATAAAAGTGACGTACTATACGTTTATATAGCAAGGTCTGTTTTTAATACCAAATAGTTTATATCTCTATGCATTTATATCTCTGTGCCTTTATATTTCTAATAATATGGTTCTTGCTGGTATATGTTGAGACTTTGAGAATGTTAGGATCCTTGACCTTGTGCATTAGAGTGATACGTTCTCAACTGTTGTGGGCCTCCCCTTCCCCCTCCCCTCTCCCTTTTTAAGCTGCTTCACAAGATTTGGAAGCTCCCTGATTCACTTTTACTTTCCTTTCAGTGGGTAGAAGAACGGTTGGTTGGTTGGTTGGTTGCTTGTTTACTTGGTTGGTTCTTTGTTTTTCAGTTATGCTGTTAAACTAAAAATCTCTGTTAAACTCCCTTACTGTTCATGTGACTGTTCTCTTTATGGTGTTTGACCAGTGATGCCGTGAGTTCAGGAAGATCTTCGCTGAACAGTCTTCTCCCCTATTGTTCATCCATTGTCAGTGTTTTATGTTGACCGTGTGAAGGACATTAAAGCCCTAAAACATCTAAAAAAAAAAACCAACTCTTACTTTTGACTAAGGAAATAGTTTTAATCAGGATTATATTCAAATACATTTTAGTGATTTAGAAAATGATAAAGTATAGTGATATTTCTTTAAATATATATTTAAGTGTTTGTTTAGAGGCAGAAACCAGTGAGTTAGGCTGTGAAAGAGCAGAAGAAACCCCAGTATCCACAGGTTGATGGCAAGGATGTTGTCTTGGCTCCAGACATATGATTCATGGAGCTCAGGTAGCCTTTGCCCCGGCAGTGTTTTCTGAAAACAGGGCTTCCTTTTCCCCTTTCCCTCATGTGTATGCATGTTGTGTGAATCTGATCCAGTATAACCCCTCATTATGGCTTAACCCCTGCTAAATCCAAGTTTTTGACAACCCTACATTGTAATATCACTATATATACGTTTCTCTATGTTTTACTTCAGTGGCTATCAACATTATCTACATAATCTGTCTTAGATTCACCAGTCACTCTATATCCAAGAACTTAGGTTCCAGTAGAACAGAAACTCCACCGTTTCTAAGAAGTAAACATTGGTTGTAAATCATGTTTTGCTCATCTGGGAAAGTGTCTGTCTCTTCCTTTCTGTATCAAAAAAATAGCACAAGTAATGAATTTTCAGTTAATGAAAATCAGCAACAAAAATTCACTGTGATCACCATCTAGTGGCTGAACTATATACTTATTTATACTGATGCAAATTGTGTGCCCTTGATTCACATTAAGGAACTTGAAATACTATACTTGAAATTTTAGCTTTAAAGAATTTCTTTAAATTCAATTATATAATTCCATTTGCATTACATTACTGGATATTTGTTACCATTGAAAATAATTTTGGGCCAAATATGTTTAAAAACATAGTTAATAAAGAAGCCTTTGTTATATGTAGTCTATTTAAAGAGGAAAATGACATACTTTTTTGAAATAAAAAAGGATAATAATATTCAAAATAACTAAGAAAACACAAATCCCATAAAGCAGTATTTCTCACACTAGCATTGGTAGGAAAATGCTCCATAACAGAGTTCGTTATTTAAATAAGTGTGGGATACTATAGTTACACAAAGTTAAACGTGTTTTGTTGTGTTTTCCTGCAGAACAATCAGAACACTTAACGGCAATTTTAAAGCTTAAAAGAGAGTATAAAACATTTCCCACATGTAATTAGATTATGTTTTTTTCTTCACTTCTCTTAACATCTCTGAATAATACATACTTATAACAAAAAATCATTTGATTACGTACATTTGTATACAATTTTTTTTAGAAGTATAGTCTCTAAACTGAATAGCACCATAATCTAAATTGTAATTTCCTTTCTAATTTATTGATCCTCAAATTTTGTTCCGTGACGTACTTTTATCTTAAAATCACATGGTTAATACCAGAAGAATTAATCATCAACTCATTGAAGTGATATAACAATTAGTATTTTTGAGATAGTTTGTGTGACTTTTTAGGTGCATTGTATGCTTTTTAATAATAGTTCTAAAAAAATGATGAGCGGGATATCCGATTTCCAATCCAATTTGGGTACTCTTAAACACAGCTCTTAAAGGAATTAAAGTCTATTCTTCACAACAAACTGAAACGTGAAATTTCCTCCATTTTTTCTAAAGACATTAGCACTTTTTTTCTCACTTAGCTCTAATTTGACATTGTTTTTAGTTACCATTATTTTTCTGTTAGTCTCTCCTGACTCCTGGTCTCTGTCAAGAGGTCTGTGTTCTCTACCCTTAAAAATGGGTCTTCCCCAGAGGTCCTTGGGCCACTCCCCTGTCCAGCCCTTCCCTGCCCTGTCCTCTCTCTCACCTCTTCCATTCACCTGTCCTTTTACACTCTCCTAAGTTATACTGGGAATACCCCATATGGTTTCATTTGCCTTTAACCACTTACGAATCCCTTAGCCCCTACCCACATCAGTCTTCTCTGCTGTAAACTTGCATTTCCACCTGCCTGTAGACCACTTGCCTTGGGTGACCCAGGATCTCAAACTCAGTGATTCCTCAGTGCATCTTGGGCATCTCACTCCGGAACACGTGCCCTCTGTTCTTTCTCTACACTGGAGGCCTGCAGGGACCCACGTCAGAAACTTGAGAATGTTTCCTCACATCCAGTCTATTGCCAAGACAATATGTCTCTTAAACGTCGATTATTATTTCTCCACTTTCTACTCTTTTCATCACAATTAAACTTCCTTACCTCACATCTAGACTCCTGCAGGCACCTCCTTCCTAATTTAACCTTCTCATTCATAAAGGTTCTAAATGTAAAACTGGTCACTCCATTTTACATTTTACTAGCATAAAGTTCAGGTTCTTTGCACAGAGCATAGGTCTTTCATAATCGTCACTTCCTCCCCACCTTCCTTTCTGTTTTGTTTGCTAAATCTCTATATATGCATGGCCTTTACTCCTGTGGTACTGAGCTTCCTCTGTGCAGCTGCTCATTTTGTACCTGCTGTATCTAAAACCTTTGCTCATCGTAAAGGTGCTGGCTGGGTCTAATGTGTCAGCACTTACATCACAGGGTATCTCTTCTGCCTAGGTTAGTTGCCCCTCCCCTCTAATCACTTCACATACTATGCGTCTACCAGTGAATATGTTACAGACCCAGGTCCTTGGACAATTTAATCAACAGAAATTGTTAAGAGGCCAGATGAGAAGTTGAAGCAGGGCTTTACTGGGATTCCTGCTACAGCAGAGGGAGCGAGAACAAGAAGCAGGTGGCCTTGCTCACTCCCCGAGGCAGGGGCTGAGCTGGTTCCTTAAATGGGGTGAGGGTAGGGACGGGTCAGTGGGTTGGGCAGGAAGCGTAGCCTGGGTGGTCTTCCCACCCCCTTGGTGGTGCTGTGTGCAGATATCATGCACAGGACCCTGCTTTTGCATGCAACCGTTCATAATATTTCCATATGATGCATTTTAATTTCTGTAAGTTTAGTAATGTCCCCATTTTCACTCCTGTGTTTAATAATTTAAGTCTATTTTTTTTTCTTGGTTAGTCTGGCTTAAGGTTTCTCAATTTTGTTGATCTTTTAAAAGAACCTACTTTTGGTTTTGCTGATTTTTAAAAAATTAATTAATTTATTTATTTTTGGCTGTGTTGGGTCTTCGTGTCTGTGCGAGGGCTTTCTCTAGTTGTGGCAAGCGGGGGCCACTCTTCATTGCAGTGCGCAGGCCTCTCACTATCGTGGCCTCTCTTGTTGCGGAGCACAGGCTCCAGACGCACAGGCTCAGTAGTTGTGGCTCACGGGCCCAGTTGCTCCGAGGCATGTGGGATCCTCCCAGACCAGGGCTTGAACCCGTGTCCCCTGAATTGGCATGCAGATTCTCAACCACTGCGCCACCAGGGAAGCCCAGTTTTGCTGATTTTTGTCTATTGTTTTTCCTGTTTCATTCACTCACTTCTACTTCAGTGTTTATTATTTCCTCCTGCTTGCTTTGGGTTTGATTTATTTCTAAGGTGGAAAGTTGGGTTACTGACTTGAGATATTTCTTTTTTAGTGTAGGTGTTTACAGCTGTCAGTTTCCCTCTAAGCATTGTTTTAGCTGCATCCCATAAGCTTTGGTATATTGTGCTTTTGTTTCATTCATCTCAAAGTATTTTCTCATTTCTCTCATGATTTCTTTTTACCCCTTTGTTTATTTAAGAGTGTATTGATTTATTTCCTCATATTTGTGATTTCCAAAATTTCTTCTATTATTATTGATTTCTGGTTTTATTCCATTGTAATAGAATATACTCTGTATGATTTCAGGTATCTTAAATTTGTTGAGACTTGCTTTATGGCCAACCAGTAGGTCTATCCTGGAGAAGGTTCTATGTGCATTTGAGAAGAATGTTTAGTCTGTAGTTGTTGGGTAGAGTGTTCTATACATGCCTGTTATGTATTGTTTCATTTATAGTGTTTTTCATGCTTCTATTTCCTTTTTGATCTTCTGCTTAGGTGTTCTATCCCTTATTGTGAGTGGGGTATTGCAGCCTCCAGCTGTTGTTCGTTGGATTGCCTATTTCACTTTTTAGTGTGTCAGTTTTTGCTTCATGTATTTTGAAGCTCTGTTTTTAGGTGTATATAATTGTTATGTCTTCTTGATGGACTGACACTTCTGTTATTATAATAAAATGTCCTTTACCTCTAGTAACAGTTTTTGTCTTAAAGTATATTTTGTCTGACATGAGTATTGTTATTTCACTAGTTTTTATTAATGAAGTACTAATGCAAAGTTCAAGGATGAACCTTGAAAACTTGCCAAGTAAAAGAAACCAGATACAAAGGCTATGTCACATGATTTTATTTATATGAAATGTCCGGATTAGGCAAATCTATAGAGATAGCGGTTTCCAGGGACTGGGGGAAAAGATGGGGAATGACCGCTAATGGGTATGGGATTTTTGGGACGGATGATGAAACTGTTCTGGAGTTAGACAGCAGTCATTAAAAGAACCCCTTTGGGGGGCTTCCCTGGTGGCGCAGTGGTTGGGAGTCCGCCTGCCGATGCGGGGGACACGGGTTCGTGCCCCGGTCCGGGAGGATCCCGCATGCCGCGGAGCGGCTGGGCCCGTGGGCCATGGCCGCTGGGCCTGCGCGTCCGAAGCCTGTGCTCCGCAACGGGAGAGGCCACAACAGTGAGAGGCCCGCGAGCCGCAAAAAGAAAAAAAAACAAAAAGAAGAACCCCTTTGAAGTTAAGTAGACCTTACTATCTTTATGACCTTAAACAATAATAACAGTAAACATAGTAACAAAAAATTAACCATGCTAATTATATGCTAGGCCTTGCGCTAATCCTACTATAACCTAATGAAGTAGGTATATTATTATCTCCAAAGAAGGAAGCTAATGCCTAGAGGCTAACATGTTAACTTGATATTTCAACCTTACTTCTGTACCTCTGAAATGGGAATAATTGTCTCATAAGGCTTAAGAGGATTAAATGAGTTAATGTGTAAATCCCCTTAGTACATTTTGGTACATCCTACACACTCGTAAAATGGAACACCTTGTTATTTTTAAGTGGAGGTTGTGTGATCCATATCATCTCCATGTAAAAAGTCATGCTAATTTCCAATATATTGTAGTGTTTATAATGTATAACACTTTCATTTGTTTTTGAACACAGGGCCCCCTGGACCAGCTGTCCCTCCTCCTGCAGGCCACCCAGGAGGCTTGCCTGTGGGATACTACAGTCCACATCAGCCCACTACCTTCCCCTTGTACATGCAAACTGGTGGTAGCCATCCTATCCAGTACCAGCCTGGAAAATATCCTGCACCACAACATTCTGCTCCAATAGTGTGGATGCCAATGCCAACTGTTATGCCAAACTGTCCTCCAGGTCTGGAATATTTAGCCCAGGTACTCCACACAAATCCAAATTATTTTCTTACAAAGTATGACTGGGGATCCAACAAAAAGAGACTGGATAGAGTGGATAAAGGGATGGGTCAGTGATGACAGATGTTTGTGAGACTATAGGAGTGGTAGTGCTAATTTCAGAAATGTGAATGGGGAACAAAGAACATAGGGATTTTTTTGGTGGGATGATACGGTTTTTGTGAAGGTTGTATATTGAATTTTAAGACATTCAAGATGTCCTATGAAGGCAGTTTAAAAACTAGGAATTGGAATAGAAGAAAAATTATCAAAGATGTTAATTGGAGTGTCATTTGCTTAGAAGTAAAGGCTGACTGTCAAGAAAAGCAACATTACAAAGAACAGAACAGAACGGTAGACAGTGAGTAAATCACTCAGTGCCTCAGGCCATTGCTATTTCTCACCACCCATAGTTTTCATCAGCCAGTCCTGTCACCTCCCAAAGCATACAAGGTAAATAAAAATAGGGGACCTCCAAGGATACTGTTTCAGGTCAAGTTCCGGAGAACCCCTTTCCACAACACAGAGACTCTCTAATTTATATCTAGATGGACATTCTAGGACTGGGCCACCCATTTCAGAAACTGGGGCAACATGCCCACAGGTTTGTGTATCATCAAATGGTACTGTTTAAAAACCCATGTCAGAAATAAAAATGTTGCTTAATGAAGATAAGATAAACCTAGTATTGCAAATCCCCTAGAAACTACTAAATCATGTTTCACTTTTAGAAAAAGCAAGTGTTGGAATATTGACACATTATAAGCAAGGGACTTGCCAATTCAATACATGTCTCCCCACCGTAGTCAACCAAATGTTCCTTGGAGTTTGACATGTTTCTCTTTTCAGTTTTATATACTGACTGTTAATCCTGTGTACTGAAAACCATTGTTACAAAGTTCTAGTGTTGATCTTTGAAAGTAATACAGTTGTATCAGGAAAATTTGGATTTTACATAAACCAAAAACTTTATTAACCTGTTGTTTGGCAAAATATTGACAAAGCCAGTCATTCAGGTACAGTGCTAGAGTAACCCCTACATTATTTTGGAAGCTTATAAAATGTTTATAAGTTAACCAAGTTTAGAAAGTTTATTTTTTTACTTGATGATAAATGTAGAAAATTTCCTTAGAAATCCAATATCTAGAGTCATTTCTTTTTAAAAATGTATAGCTTTAATATTGTTCATTTAAATATTAAAAACCATTTTCTTAATTTCTTCTATTACTTTAGGTGAAGTTAAATGGGCATATTTTATGAAATCTATTTTCCCTTTCAGCAATGTTTTTAGTTAAAAAAAAAATTGAAAAAGAAACAAATAAAACAGGTTTAGAGCCAGACAAACCTGGGTTTTAATTCTAGCTCTACTCTCTCCTCACTCTGCTACCTTGAGTAACTTTTCTAACCTCTTGGTGCTTGAATTTCATCATCTATAAAATAGTGCTAGTCATACCTACTCTATTGGTTGTTAGGAGAATTTTTAATGAGATAAGGTTTGTAACGTGCCTAATATTTTTGGCACATGGGACCCACCCAGTGGATAATAGCTGTGTGGATGTTTTTAGTTGAAACACCTTGTGTGTAGGTGGAAGACACAGAGCCAGGCATCCAAGCATTTTTTCATCCTAGGCTTTTATTTTTTTATTTTTGGCTGTACCTTAGTTCCCCGACCAGGGATTGAACCCATGCCCCCTGCAGTAGAAGTGTGGAGTCTTAACCACTGGACCGCCAGGGAAGTCCCTATCATAGTCTTTTTGCCATCTCGTGTGCAAATTACATGAATCATTATCAGGACTATCCTGACACTTTAACATCCAGAGTAGCAGGTTTACATTATTTCTAGAATATTGGCTTGGCCAGTGACTCCACACTTTGTTAGGACTGCTTCTTAACAACCATAGTATCTTATTGGGTAAACTGCTTTCACAGTAACAGGCATTTCTTTAGAATATTTTGCTCAGCAGTAGAAGCTCTTACCAAGTAGTGAATATTTTTACTTTTTAGTTATAGATGTTTAAGAGTCCCTAGAGTTTTTCAAAGGGACTGTAAACCACCCTAGTGGCCACTTTTGATAATTTTGTAAGACATGTTTAGGCCCTCTCACCTGATTGTGTTTTCATAAAAGAATTTTTTTTTTTTTGTGGTATGTGTGCCTCTCACTGCTGTGGCCTCTCCCGTTGCGGAGCACAGGCTCCGGACGCGCAGGCTCAGCGGCCATGGCTCACGGGCCCAGCCGCTCCGCGGCATGTGGGATCTTCCTGGACTGGGGCACGAACCCATGTCCCCTGCATCGGCAGGCGGACTCTCAACCACTGCGCCACCAGGGAAGCCCGAAAAATTTTTTAATGAAAGAAAGATTGTATCCTCTCTATACCCTCCTGTAATGGATCACGCCACAGAATGTTTATGTCAGGTTACATTATTTTAAATTTTATTTATTACCACAGTAATGTAGTGTTCATTAATTAATGTATTCAACAAACATTTGGTAAAATATGGCATTTCAGGCAGTGTTCTGGGCTCAGGCATTAGGAATGATCTAATGATCTAAATTATCTACAATTAGATATGAGTAGTCTGTCCTTAAGGGGGTTTCTTTTCTGCTAGGATGTTCTCAAGTATAACAGATGATGGGCCAAAGTGTTTATCTTTACAGTGATTCCTAAGTAAAGTTAAGGTAGAAGTTGGTCTAATGGTATTACCAACCTCCCTTTTCAAGGGATTCCATCCTTGGAGAATGTTTCCTCTCCTTTGCCCTCATCCTATTCACATGCTTCCAGCTCTCTTGGATCTTCCCCTATTAGTCTGCACTTAGGGAAGACCCTGGCATCAGCAGCCCAAGTGAATGGAAGTCAGTGTGTTAACCTCTTTCAGAGGTACTGTGAAGTAATATGAGATCGGAGATTCCTGTGCAAGGTCCACCCTGCCTCATTCACTCTCCCTAAGCCACTGAGAAAATTGGCTTCTTGTGGCTGGTCCATGTTAAACTGTCCCGAACTTCCTGACAAGTCCAGTCTGTGGGTGACATATCAGAGAGACCAATGAGTAGGAACTGAACTAGGCAACATAGCTTCTTCTAGGTGCTGTTACTGAAGCAGGAAGATGATTTTCTGATATTTTAGAGAATTGTTTCAATATTTTACAGTGGACCCGGAGGAGAGTGTTCTATCTGGACAGCTCTGCTAATAACCATCTGATCAGGTGCAGATGGGCTGATTTTACCTGATAAAAATGTTTTTGATTCCATTCAGTTTCAGAGAGATATTTTTGTATCAATTGATACATTTAATTTCTGTCTCATCAGTTTTTTTTCTAATACTGGTTTGATTTGATTCTGTTATTTCTCTCTCTCCTAATTGCTTTGTTCTATCCCAACAGTTGGACAACATACATGTTCTTCAGCATTTTGAACCCCTGGAAAGTATGTATACTTTTGTAGTGTCCAGCAATATTTGAATCAGGTGAAAATTTGCATTATCCAATATCTAGTTCCTTATTTATATTGATCATTTTTTAGTGGTTCAAAGAGAAAAGACTATCCTCTATTACCCTATCTTCAAGAAAGTAATAAAGGGACTTAACTTTGTATAATTTTATCTGTTTACACATCATACGTGAGCTCTTAGATTTCAAAAGGACTTAAACATTTTTACCTGATCGAACGCCCTATCCTTTACCCATGTCAACTCCTCCATATTCACTTTTCATGGACAAGGGAAAGAAGGAGCAAAAAGACTAGATGAGCTAGTCAAGGGCACCCTAGTCAGCTAATCAATGGCAGAGCTGGAAATAGAGTCTCAGTCTGCTGAGTTCTAAGTCCAATGCTGTGGAAGTAAGAAAAAATCACGGTAAGCGCAATGCCTGTTCTCAGTTCCCCTCACTGTATCAGATCTACACCCTCATTTCATTCATTTTACCTCCACATAGAGCCTTTGACTTTTCTTATTTGGTTTTCTTATTTGCAATTAGTAATGACCCTAATCCTCTCAGCATATTTCATAAGCTGATTAATTCATGGTCTGGTGTATAATTTCCTTTAAATGTTTTTATAATTAAAGTTTTCTTAATTCAAGTACTCTAGGAATATTGTTTCCAATCTTTGCTTCTATGTGGAAAAGTTTTAAAAATCATTTTACACTGAACTTCTTAGAAGAAATGTTTTAAAATTTCAAAATTACCTATATACTTATAGGGCATATGAATTACAATGGCATTCTAATAATTGCATATTTTTCACCTGAAATTTTTTAAAAAGCTCTTTTGCTTTAGGCCCCTGTGAAATACTACAAAAGGACTTCTTGAGGCCCATTTTAACTGCTTCTAAAATAAGATGGCTCTCTCATTTTTAGTGATAACAGGTTTTGAAACTAATAATACATATGATATTAAAAACAACCTGGGCCAGATGGTTTACTTTGTGACCGAAGACACAGATGATTATACCAGGAATGCTTATCGGACACTGAGGCCCTTTGTGCTCCGGGTCACTGACTGTATGGGCCGAGAAATCATGACAATGCAGAGACCTTTCAGATGCACCTGCTGCTGCTTCTGTTGCCCCTCCACCAGGCAAGAGGTAAGAGGACAGAAGTCTCATCGGTTGTTTCTTCCTGATCCAACTCTTCCCTGCACGGTTGTGCTCCTTCCAAAGCTACACAGGAGGGGACTTTCATGGCACAGGCAGAATGGAAGAAGATAGTGGGGTGGGGGGAGGAAGGAAGCCAAATGCCAAATTGTCTCACCTATGGAAAAACCACAAAGACATTTTTCATGTGGGTTCATGTCTTCAGGGGCTAGTTGCGGGGGCGGGGGTCAAGCACAAATGAGGGTTATTTAGTCAGTGATCGCAATTCTATCAGTTGTGTCTACTGAATTAGAAATTAGTCTGTTACCTAGAACACACATCTGTCTAAATGTGCCTACATATCCCCAAATAAGGTCACACTAAATGTAGACATGCTTTTAAATAGGATCGGAAGAAACTTCAGATACTTTTACTCTACCCATCATAACCTACACCTTGTTACAGATAAAGACAGGGTGGCTAAAAAAGAATAAGTGCCTGAGGATGGTGTTACACTTGGTAGATGCTAGAACTAGAAAGCAGTTGTGCCAAGTTACGGTTTAGTTGCTCTTCTATAATCTGTGCTGCCCTAGGAAAATTGTTTGCTACAGGAAAAAGAAAAGTTTTAGAGAGAGATCCAAGAGAATTTGAATTTCAAATATGCCACCTACTTCAAGGTGGGCAATTTACTTAACCTGTTTTAGCCTCAGTGTTCTTAATACGTTAACTGGGCAGAAAAAAATACCTCCTAGGATTACTGGGATTTTAGTTCTATGTTAAGCACCAGCATTTTCAATAGAATTTACTTATAGCCTCTGTGCCTTAATTTGTTCACCTATAAAATGGAGGTATTAATAGTACCTATCTCATAGGATGGTTATTTTGAGGATTATATAGTAAATAAATGTCAACTGTGTTAGCATAGTGCCTGGCAAATAGTTTAGTGCTCAGTGAATGTTAGCAATTGTCCGATAGCTTACTCCTTTGTCATTATTGTCTTTGTATAATAACAGTCTTATATTTGAGATCAGTCTCCACTTCATCCTATACTTATACACACATACTGTTGTCTTCACAACCTACAATTTTCAGAATGCCTCTTTTCTCTTGTTTCCTATTACACTTGTCATGTCTGAGATGTCAGTCTAAGAAGCTAGCATGTTACTTTTTCATGGATTGTGCCAGAAGACGTGAGACCCCTAGGTCAGGGGCAAAGAACTTTATTACAGCACAGTAAGCAGCGTGAGCTCCAGCACATGTGCGTAGGTCCCCTCATCCCCAAGTTCTACAAGGATGACTCAGCGGATCCCAGGTAGATGCTACATATGCAGCTAAGGGACATGGAGCTTGGAGAACTGACCGTTTTATAACAAGGAGTAATTTTGTCCCAAAGGGAACATGACTTCATCTCTCAAGGCTGTTCACTGAAATACAGCCCTAAGAAATAGCCTGGGGATAATGGAAGACTCTTTCCCAGTGACAGTTTCCCTAGTTCTTGAATGAATTAGGAACATACCTAGGTTGTGTGTGTCTGTGTATGTGTATACCTATACATGTAGCATCTTCGCCTCTGTCACTGCTTCTTTTGCAGCTGGAGGTGCAGTGTCCTTCTGGTGTCACCATTGGCTTTGTTGCCGAACACTGGAACCTGTGCAGGGCAGTGTACAGCATCCAAAATGAGAAGAAAGAAGATATGATGGGAGTGCTTGGGCCATGCTCAACCTATGGCTGTGGTTCAGATTCTGTTTTTGAGGTAAACAAATATAAAATAAATGTTTCTACTATTTTTTCTACATCTACTAACAGACCTCAGAATGATGTGCTTTTAGATGATTTTTTTGTGTGTGAATGAATAAAGTAATGTGAGGAAAGAGTTAACTAACCAGTTGACGTTGAAAAATTTTCAAATTATCATTAGGGGATTGCTTAATGTTTTCCACAATGTGAGCTTCTTTTGCGTGATTTCAGTGTTTGATAAAGATAAGAAGAAACCATTTAAAACATTAAACCTGAGAATAAATAGCCTAACCTAATCCATCTATTTTATTCTTGGCTGTATTTCACTAACCATTTTTACGAAAGATTTCCAGGAACAGAATATAGGTCCTGAGTAATGAAAAGGCCCCACATATCACAGAACCAATAGAGCACCCCTGAGGTTGTGCAAATTGCTTATTTGCAAGATAGAAGTCTGTCTGCATCCTCAAGAAACAAGACAACACTCATAAACCAGGATAAATCTTATAGTGGATTATAACATTTTCTGGAAGAAGGAAAATCCTTCTGTTCTGCCTTCATCTCAATGGCCACAAAATGATAGCTTTTTACTCTTAACAGTTGTGACAAAGGAGATTCCTGGGCTTCTTAAAGAGTTCTTTCTAAATGCCTCACAGTTCAACAAAATTGATAATCCAGAATTGCTCATTCAAATATTTTCTGTGACACCCGATAAACTTTCCTTAGTTCTCATTTTACATAACCATATCATCAACCATGACTTATTTATTAAAAGGCCATTATAGATAGATAGAAAATGTAGATAAGCCAGATTTCGAGGGCAGGGTGTGTGGGTCATTTTAATCACCAAAATGTAGTGTTTGGTTATTATCCTTGTGGCAGGTACCTTCTAGAAGCTGAAGCCCTTTGGGATTCTGACATACTTTAAGAAGACAGGGCCCACAAAAGCCTGAGTGATCATATGGATTTTGTGAAGTGAAAAGAGCCATACCACCTTGCTTTTGCTAACATGTTTCCCTCGACTGGGAAAGACTCCATCCCAATCCCCAATTCCCACCCTTTGCTATATGAAAAAGAATTTCAAAATCAGTTTAAATCATACCTCCTCTGACAGGCTTCCCTAATAACTCATTTGAGGGTGAAGAAAGAACACTGGCCTGAGAATTGTAAGATACTCCCCAGCTTGGTTGTCAGCCAGTTGCAAGGCACTTAACCCTTCTTGGCCATAATTCCCAATTTGAAATTGTATTATTACTATATTCATTTCCTGCACCATATTTATACTACCTCAGTGTAAACTGCTTACAAACAGGAGAATAAAGCATGTAGTTTAACACCTCTCAATCATAAAGTCACGTTCTTGTCTTTCTAGGTCATATCCCTTGATGGTGTATCCAGTATCGGAAGTATTACTCGGAAGTGGAATGGTGTGTTATCAGCAATGAGTGATGCTGACCACTTTGAAATTCACTTCCCATTAGACCTGGATGTGACAATGAAAGCCATGATTTTTGGAGCTTGCTTCCTCATTGTAAGCATTTTGCTTCTGAGTTATCCTGAGAGAATTATTCTTTCTGATGAGAAGCAGTGTAGTGCAGTAGAAAGGCAATACGATTTGAAGCTGTCCCTGCCACTTACTAGTTATATGTCTTGCAAAGTGTTTAACACTTGCAAGCCTCAGTTTCCTTATTTGTAAAATGGAAATGAAAATACATATATATATATATATATATATATATATATATATACATATATATATATTTCAGGGTTATGAGTATTAGCTATCATATGAGTAAAGGGGCCAGGAGAGTGCTTGAAAGATACTAGGCATCCAGTGGGTGTAATTGTCATCATTTCATGTTACTTACCATTCTCACTACTTAAAGATGCCTGTTCTTTGATTTCTTAGTGAAATAAAATAACTCTAAAGCTGATGTTCTCTCCCTTCATCTATTACCTCTTTGTCAATATACCTAAGATTTATTAGGTACAATTTCCTTGCTGTATTCCTGTCTGATTAGTGGCTAATATTCATAAATCATAGAAATAAAATTGATAACATTTACCTTAAAAACCTAATTAACATTTTGCAATTGGTATATTTAACATTTTTAATATTGATTATCAAGTTTTTCCTCCTTTCAACAAGGAAAATTTAGTTAATTGGTACCCCAAATGGAAAACTTATTGACTACCCACAGTTTCAGATTTGCAACTGCTGTTCTTCATATTAGGTTCTCGTCATGAAAATTTCATTAGCTTGATTTATTCTTAACTGGAATGAGATCACCTGATAAATTATGAAGAATAACATTTTGTGCATTGCACCTAATTATCTATTTACATTCTTTATTTATATAATTATTTATCTAATTTGATATTTATCTATACATATAATTCTTTTTCCAATTTCAGGACTTCATGTATTTTGAAAGCTCTCCACCACAACGTTCATCCACTCATAATTGATGGATACCGCAAGTCAGCAATTCTGATTAATGAAAAAAATTTAGAAAAGTTGGTTGGGCTTACAGTCAGCCCTCAATTATTCACAAATATATTTATCTCCTCTTGCAGATTATTATTATTGGGTATTAGCTTTGACAGGCTGAGCGTGTAAGTGAAAGAACACATCTAAACATGTGTTTCAATTGAGTATCCGTCTACCCGTCTACTTGGTAGACTAAGAGTTTACCTGAAAAGGTTATGACCCATTAACCAAGTAAACATATATGTAGTGAACTTGAAATCGCTTTAAACATTAGATGAGGGGAAATGAATCCCAAAGCTTTCACATTAATTGATAGTAAAATGATGGGCTTTTTAGAGCAATCTTTGTTGAGATAGAGTAATATAGCTTCTAACTCTGACCCTCTCCTCTCCATCAACATGTCCAGTTACTGAAGACAAATTTGATTCCAGGTGAAAAGAATGATACTCTTCATTGTTAAAAACAAAACAGAAGGCAGAGAGAAATACTATGTTTTATTGCCCAAGGAAAATTTTACTTGTGCAAATGTATCAGAACCTTATTTTGCAAACTTCATAAAAATTTCAATGGAAATTTTTATTTTATTACAAAATAAAACATGTTTTTCATATCATAAGGTTATATTTTCTATGCCTCATTTACTAGCATACACAATCAGGAGCTGCCTCTGTATGAAGATGGAGTCAGACTACCAGGGCCATTAACCAATCTAGATCTCTGAGCAATTTAGAGACATCAGTGCCCTTATGAGAAGCTTGTATTTAATACATTTAACCTCTCTTGGTTATAGATGTCTTACATGTAAAATAGGTTTGGTTGAATCTCTAGGATTGCCTATTGAACCTGTGTCTCATTTGGTATGACACAGAGGAGATGATTTTTTTTTTTCTTACAAGAAGATCCCTGATTTGAACTGTGCTGTTCAAATTGCAAGAGTTGGAGTTTTGTTTTTAAATTTTGAAATGTGACATTCTGCATAGCACTTTGTAAAAGCAAAAATTACAAATGCAGACACTGCTTAATATTGTTTTGCTGTTTTTTATTTAAATGATAGATAAATCTGTATCTATGCAAAGAAAATGATAAAACACAGCAAACATGCTGCTTCTCTGGGATCTATAGCTTATCAGTAAAGATTATTTGGATCAACATAGTAAAAGTATAAATTACACTTATTTGTATTAACTAGTTAAAATCACAGTATATTAGTGAATACACTCTGTTAAATCAACTTGCCTCTACTGCACTTTAGCTTCCTATCTGGACCTGAACTCTGTTCTTTCAACACAGCCAGTACATAGAATGGAATGTATTCTTCCACTGCTCTTTATTAAAAGAAGCAAGACTGAGTGTTCTTTGGTATGAGATGAAGGCCTTCACCCACAGTTCCTATTGAAGTGAAAGAAAGGTGCCTCATTTTAAAATTATATTCATCTTTTCATGGTAAATGTTTTTTACCCAGTTTCTTGTAATGTTCATTTTTATATGCTACTACTAGCTTTCCAAAAAAATGTAAAAACTGCTTGTTTCTAAAATAATAATTACCTTATATTTAAGGCAATTGTAGTCTTAAATGGACAGATATATTATTTCTTATAATGATGTCTGACATTTGATAGAGCAAATCAGACAATAGTATTCAGAAAGTTTACTATATAAACTTTTCATTTTTACTTGCATACATCCCTACATTCTAAGACCTGATGCATAATACTAAGAAAAAATTATTTCTAGCATGACATTTTAAATTTCTGTTTAAAGTTGTTGTGGTATTAACATGTCTCTTACAATTTCTTTCTTTAAAAATAATACTATGTTTCTTATATTTTTATACTACAGTTTATATTATAATTTTTATGTTTCTTAACGATATTTCATTGTGTAAAACTGATCAGATTGATTAACAAAACAAGCCATTCTCTGAAATGTGTGTGTTTTCATGTTTCATCACATGGTTTTTGGCTTCTAAATAAATATAATATAGTTTATAGTAAAATACTGTTTTATTTTTGACTTGTGATTGAGGCTTTGCAATAGACTGGATGTTTGTATTCCCCCCCCCACCCCCGCCAAATTTATGAATTACCTGTGTGATGGTATTTGGAGTGGAGCCTTTAGGAGGTGATAGGTCATGTAGGTGGAGCCCTCATGAATGGGATTAGTGCCCTTATAATCTGCCAGCCTTGATCTTGGAATTCCCATCCTCCAGAGTTAAATGTTTGTTGTTTAAGCCTCTCAGTCTGCAGTATTTTTGTTATAGCAGCCCAAACAAACTGACAGAAATTGGTACCGAGAAATGGGGATGCTGCATAACAAATATGTAAAAATGTGGCACTGGCTTTGGCATTGGGTGAGGAATAGAGGCTGAAAGTTTTAAGGTGCATACTGGTAAAAACCTATATTGACATAAACAGAATTTTAAAGATAATTCTGATGAGAGCTTAGGAAGAAAAGAGGCAAACTGTAGAGAAAACCTCAGTCTTCTTAGAGAATACTTAATTAAACATGAACAGGATATTGGTAGAAATATGGACAATAAAGACCAGGATGGAAATGAGGAACATGTTATTGAAAACTGTAGGAGAAGTGATCCTTATCGTAAAGTGGCCAAAAACTCTGGCAGAATTGTGTCCATGTTCTAGTGTTTTGTGGAAGGTAGAACTTGCAAGTGGTGAAATGGGATACCTAGGTGAAACAATTTCTAAGCAAAGTGTTGAAGTGCAGCTTGGCTCCTCCTGACTGCTTACAGTAAAATTCAACCTGAGAGAATGGACGTAAAGATGGGATTGTTAAGCAACAAGGAAGCAGAATTTATTTATTTATTTAGAATTTTATTTTATTTATTCTTTTATACAGCAGGTTCTTATTAGTCATCCATTTTATACATATTAGTGTATACATGTCAATCCCAATTTCCCAGTTCATCTCACCACCCCCCTGCCACTTTCCCCCCTTGGTTTCCATACGTTTGTTCTCTACATCTGTCTCTATTTCTGCCCTGCAAACTGGTTCATCTGTACCATTTTTCTAGGTTCCACATATATGCGTTAATATACGATATTTGTTTTCCTTTTTCTGACTTATTTCACTCTGCATCACAGTCTCTAGATGCATCCACGTCTCTACAAATGACCCAATTTCATTCCTTTTTATGGCTGAGTAATATTCCATTGTATATATATATGCCACATCTTCTTTATCCATTTGTCTGTCAATAGGCATTTAGATTGCTTCCATGACCTGGCTATTGTAAATAGTGCTGCAATGAACATTGGGGTGCATGTGTCTTTTTGAATTATGGTTTTCTCTGGGTATATGCTCAGTAGTGGGATTGCTGGGTCATATGGTAATTCTATTTTTAGTTTTTTAAGGAACCTCCATACTGTTCTCCACAGTGGCTGTATCAATTTACATTCCCACCAACAGTGCAAGAGTGTTCCCTTTTCTCCACACCCTCTCCAGCATTTGTTGTTTGTAGGTTTTCTGATGATACCCACTCTAACTGGTGTGAGGTGATACCTGATTGTAGTTTTGATTTGCATTTCTCTAATAATTAGTGATGTTGAGCAGCTTTTCATGTGCTTCTTGGACACCTGTATGTCTTCTCTGGCGAAATGTCTATTTAGTACTTCTGCCCATTTTTTGATTGGGTTGTTTGTTTTTTTAATATTGAACTGCATGAGCTGTTTATATATTTTGGAGATTAATCCTTTGCCTGTTGATTTGTTGGCAAATATTTTCTCCTATTCTGAGGGTTGTGTTTTTGTCTTGTTTGTAGTTTCCTTTGCTTTGCAAAAGGTTTTAAGTTTCATTAGGTCCCATTTGTTTATTTTTGTTTTTATTTCCATTACTCTAGGAGGTGGATCAAAACAGATCTTGCTGTGATTTATGTCAAAGAGTGTTCTTCCTATGTTTTCCTCTATGTGTTTTATAGTCTCCAGTCTTACATTAAGGTCTCTAGTCCATTTTGAGTTTATTTTTGTGTATGGTGTTAGGGAGCGCTCTAATTTCATTCTTTTATATGTAGCTGTCCAGTTCTCCCAGCACCACTTATTGAAGAGACTATCTTTTCTCCATTGTATATCCTTGCCTCCTTTGTCATAGATTAGTTGACCATAGGTGCGTGGGTTTATCTCTGAGCTTTCTATCCTTTTCCATTGATCTGTATTTCTGTTTTTGTGCCAGTACCATATTGTCTTGATTACTGTAGCTTTGTAGTATAGTCTGAAGTCAGGGACTTTGATTCCTCCAGCTCCGTTTTTTTCCCTCAAGACTGGGAAGCAGAACTTAAGATTCGGAAAATTCTCAGCCTATCCATATTGCAAAAAATGAGAACACTAAGGGCGTGGTCAAGTGACTGATAAGGAGATTAGTATGGATCAGCCATCTGATCAGAAGCCAGGCACTATTCTCCAAGGCAATGAAGAACAACCCCCAAAGGGGATTCAGAGATCAACAGAGCTGCCACTCCCATCACAGGCCCTGAGTGCAAGGGCCTGGGGAGCAGAGTGGTTCAAAGAAGGGACCACCAGCACCTGTGAGACCTTTGTGCCAGCTGTATGGTGCCATTCACATGTAGAGCTCTGATCTCTGTAGTCTGTGCCACACTCCTCCAACACCCCAGACGAAACTCTGGTAGACCCCCAGTGTAGCATGGGCCTCAGTGGTTGCCCTTCCAAAGGGCACAGGCAGCAAACTTTGGTGATGACCATACAACCCTGTCTCCATTGGCTCAGGTCTGGTGGGGCATGGCTGCCTTTACCTAAATTTCAGAGGATGGGGCCACCTGGGAGACTCATGGGCCAAGGACCCCAGACCCAGAGAGCCATGGAGCCCAGGCAGAGAGTCGCTACAGGCCTTCCTGCTGAGCCCTGGGATGATATTGCCATCCCAGTGGGTCTAGAAGGCAGATCATTGAGTCAAAGAAGATTATTCTTGAGCCTTAAGGTTTAACGTTGTTTGTTCTGTTCGGTCTTGGCATACCTGGGAACTGTCCTCCTTTATTCTTTCCTGTTTTACCCTTTTGGAATGGAGATGTCTATGCTATGCCTGCCCCACCATCGTATTTTGGAAGCACGCAACTTGTTTGGTTTCATAGGTTCACAGCTGGAGAACAATTTGCCTCAGGGTAAATCACACCTTGCATCTCACCCATAGCTGACTTGGCCAATATTTAAATAAGACTTTGGACTTTGTAGGAATAACTAGCTTTCTGATATAACCAAGTTATTTATAAGTGCTTATTTGTAATTCACTTATTTAAGACACATTTAAATTTTAAGTATGATTTCAATGCCAGTATATCATGCAGAAAAGCTGCTAGAATTTGTAACACTTGATGAAGGGTACATTTCAAACATTTTTTTTTCTTAATGACAGATTTCCCAGAAATTTTATAAAAATCTGGTTACTAGACTAATTTACTAGCTGAATTTTCCAAACAGCTAGATGTTAAATTAAGCTCAAGTCTGGAATAAGTAGTGATTCTGGGGAATGTCATCCTGCCTCTGATGGGACTGCTGGCTACTTTTCAGTCCTTTTTCCCCCCAGTAGTCAAAGTTTAATGTAATTTATACTGAAAGATGCAAGCTTGGGAAACCCATAGGTCTGGATTTAATCAACGAATACCAAATTCAGCTTTTTGGCTGGTGATAGCTGATATTTAAAATGGATCTATTCCCATAAGTCGGTCGACCATTGCAGAATGCATTTCCCATTTGCCTCTAGCTCCCTAAATTGTAAAACCCAGAAAAGAGAAAAACAGAATGACACATTCCAAGTGTAGTCAGAGTGAGGCAGCATAGTATGCTACATGATTATACGTAGTATGGTTAGTAATAGCACACGGTAGGCATTCACTCAGTAGACATTCACCTCTGCCTAACGAATAACAATAAAGTCAGTAGATATATTTTTGCAATATTTGTTATAGTAGCCTGTAAAAAGTTTTAACATCCTCTCCACTATTTCGCTCTATCAATCATTACTTTATTGAGCATCTTCTAAATTCAGACACTGAGCTATTTCTGAAGCAGAGGGAAGCACAAATGTGAAAAGTACATAATTACTACTCTCAGGGGCTCACAGGCTAGTGGATGAGACAGATTTTTAAACAAAATACACGTCTTTGAGGACCAGGGTGGACATGTGCTCAATGGGATGTTGGCATATTCAAT